CCCCGCCCCTTTCCTGGCCCTGCCCGCACCCTGCAGCAAGCAGCAATGCGGGAGGGGGAACACGGCTCCCGGAGCCATCCCAGCCAGCACCGCTAATCCGGCCTCTCCCTAGCAGATTATTTTTAATCCTCTCTGCAGTCCAGTCCAAACCTCGCTCAGCTCTTGGGGGAGGGAAGAGGAAGCCAGTAGCAGCTCTTGTTTTGATCTCGCTTGGCTTTGCCTTTTCAAAAACATTTGCACATGAAAATAAAGCCGACAACAATAATCCCAGGTAGCTCTGGCTGCAAAACGGCAGTAAGCAGGCAGAGCCGCCGGGCTTGCCCAGAGTCGGGGGCGGGGGGGGGGGGGGGGCCACCGGGACACGCCCTGGCCAGGGGAAAGCAAAAAAAGCACCCCAAAAAGGCTGCTCCACTGGGTCTCCCTGTACGGACTTAACCGACCCCTCCGTACGCGATGACAACTCCCCCCGGGAGCGAGAGCGGGCGCCGGTCTCCGCTCGCCGGCAGACCCGCAGGGGCCGGTGCCGCTGGGGCGGCGGCGGCGCTGCGCTGCGCTTTCCTTGACCCGGCACATCTCATTCGCTCCATTAACGACCCCGAGCACCCCCTCACCCTGGAGGAGCTGAATGTCGTCGAGCAAGTGCGAGTGAAAGTGAGGCCCCCGCTAAGACGGGCCTGTCGCCCGGGGCTGCCGCGGCCGCCGTCGGGGCGGCCGCTCGGTAACCGCGTGCTGTGCTGCAGGGCAGGGCTGCCGCTGCCCTCCGACTGACGTTAAAAGAGGCTTATTACAGCGGTCTGCTGCAGCTAAACGTAGTGTTTTAAAATGTCAGCGAAAAAAAACCGTAAGCGGCCAAGTGCAGCTTCAGGCTGCATTTCACAAAAAACGCCGCCAGCTAGCGCGGGGTAGAGCCGGTGAGTTTTGTACATGCAGAGTGTTTGGTTTTCAACAGGTGAATGACGCGGAAAGCACGGTGGCAGTGGAGTTCACTCCCACCATTCCTCACTGCAGCATGGCGACATTGATCGGCCTCTCCATAAAAGTAAAATTGATCCGATCTCTGCCCGAGAGATTTAAGGTGAGTAATCAGATCGCTCCGGAAAGCAAAAGAGGGGGATTGGGTTTGAAAAGGGACACACACACCAAAAAAAGGCAAGAAAATAAGCTAACCAACTTACAGTGAAAAAAACCTAGAGCTTTTTTCATGTCATGGGTGGTGTAAACACTCAGGGAACCAGAGAGGGCAGTGGACTAAAATACGGATGCAGAATTACGGTTCTGTGACAGTCATGTCAGGCACAAGCGGGGCTGTGGAGCGAAGTTACCCGCAGTGCTCTGCGGCATGGGAGGAAGAGAGGTTGGTGCCTCAACCTCTCTCTGAAGGAGGCTTAAGCAGATGGGAATGCAGAATATTTTGTGATTTTAGACTTATTTTATTCTGCTCTATACAGTAACTGGTATTGGCAAGAATGTTTTCTTCCCTCTTATTGTCTTATTTTCATTATGAAAGAATTTGAACTTTAGCTTCCAATGTTTTGCTGACTTGTCGCCTTTTTCTTTTGTGATGCTTTTTAAGCTGGATGTTCATATAACACCAGGAACACATGCTTCTGAGCATGCAGGTAAGGTTTCTAGTGCTCTGATGTGTGGTGGTTATTATTTTTTTTAATCTTGAAAATTAAGAGAGGAGAGAGATTCCCACACCTGCAGAACATCTGTTTAGTATCTGGGACTTTATGGGCGTCAGCTTCTGGGGGGTGTTACAGAACAGGAATGTGTAATAATGACATTTAGATATGTTCTGTGCTGTAGTTTAAACATCTCCTCGGGCAACCTGTGCTCTCAACTAGTCATTGATTTGCCTGGGTTATGAGGACTCAGAAAATGGGGAGAGGCTGGGGGGAAATTTCTTCTTCTGCTACACCTACACACACGTAGTTCCCTGCTGCTGAATCATAAACAGCTTGCTGGTTTAACTTGTGATCACATGCTAGCTTTGACTTTAGACTGCAACTCTGGAGTGTACGTAGCATCTGCAGAATTACTAGTCTACCTGAGTACCATAGCAACAGTCTGATTGTGTGTCTCAACCTAAAATGCTTTAAAAAAGACATTGTATACGATTGTTTTGACCGGTTTCTTGTGGTGTTTTTTTTCTGCACAGTTAATAAACAGCTTGCTGATAAAGAACGTGTAGCAGCTGCTTTGGAAAACTCTCACTTACTGGAAGTGGTGAATCAGTGTTTGTCCGCTCGATCATAATTGCCTGATGAGGAAATTGTTGGTATTCTGCTGTGTAAACTAATTTTGTATATAAGTGGTGATGCTAGTGTTACACTATACATATATCTATGAGCAAAATAAAATTACTTGGATTTTCTTAAAGAAATGTTTCATTACTCCTACAAAAACTAGTATGTGGGAAATTAGCTTACAGGCAGCTACAAAAATATTATGAAAATTGACTTTTAAATGTTATTAGTCATCGCATAGGTAGGATTTTTCTTTACAAAGATGTGTTTCAAGCTGGTTTTAACTGGTTTCTCACTATCCAAAATTAGTTATAAACTGCATTTTAGAAGTGGATTTTGCACACTGGACTTCACAAGTACACCAAGCTAATTGGCAGTTAAAATCTTTACATTCGTATGACTTTTTTGGGCTGCTAATATAATTTTAGCTTCAGACATCAAAAACTGTGTAAGTTTATGTGTGCAAAGTTGTAACACATTTTAGCAGTAAGTGTAAACACTTCTAAAGCATCTGCCTGGTTTTTATTATATTAACTTGGATTAGCCAAATATGGAGGGCTCTTTAGACCTGTATAAAACATGATTTATTTTTAACTACTCATTACTTGTGGTAGGAAATACAGTATCTTTGAGGTAGGGTTTTTTTTCCATGCACCTGCTGCAATACAGGAGAGAGTTGTTCATAGTTTTCAGTACGAACAGTCCAGCTACCCTCTGCTGAAAGACTCTCCTGGCAAAGTTTGACAGCTAAATGACAAGTTTTGCTTTAAACGTATTGAGATTTAATAATGATACCTAGCCTATGCTTCTGATCCGGGAAATGTGGCATTTACTAAACTATTGTGTTTGGCAGAAATTGACAAGAGAAAAATTCATTAAGATAGAATTCCAGAATTAATTTGAACTTTTGTAAAAGATGTTTCTAATCGTGGACCACATGGGAAAAAAACAACCTGCCAAAGAAATCCTATCAGGTATTTTGGTGCTTGCACACATGTGACATTACCTTCATTGTCATCAGTTATCTAGAGAGTAACTAATACACTTTTTTAAAAGTAGATTGTGCTCACCTGTTTGATGGTAATGGTTTATATTTCAGTAGTATTTACTCTTGGAGTAGTCCAGTCTAGTCTGTGTTGAGCAGCTGAGGAAACTGAGGCAGTGGTGATCCATGTGTGACATCTAAAGTCACATAGCAAAATAGGACAGAAACAAATCCATATCTTCCCATTTCAGAAATGAGGCACCCAGTTTGGACAGGGCTTCTACAGAAAGCCAACACTACAGCAGCCTTAATCTGCTTATTTGGCTTAGCATCCTTTGAATGATCAACGCTTGCTTGGATGTATGAATGAAACTGTAAATAAACACAATATTTATGTAGTATTAATATTGGGAAAGGAGCAGAATGACCCAGTTGTTAATACTATCTTTCCTCTCTGCCTCTCTTGCTGAATCACTGAACTGATTAGTTCTGACATTGCCAACGTTTGCACCACAAATGAAACTTCAACCATGGCAACGCATACAGGCAGCTCACAGGCAACACGCTTGGCTGGTTTGATTTTGTTTTCTGGTTGGTTTTTTTTTATAGAAAATGAATTTTGCCCTCACAGATTTTGGGGAAGAAAGGAATGCGAATATGTGCCGGGGGAAAACAGAAGGATGACTAAGCTGCCAACAGATTGCTTCAACCTGCACTCCAAATAGAGGAGGAATCAGTAAATTATGCATTGTTGAATCTCTTTGCTTGGCTTTCACTGCTACATAATAATTGTGTTAAATAATTTATTGGGATGTTGGCACTTGCCTCATGAAGCACATTGTACACAGTAACCCTGGGGGTGCGCTTTGCACCATTCACCTTTTCAGAGAAGCAACAGTATGGGGTTAGATTGTTTAAATTTATAGTATATAGTTGGGGGATGACTTTTCAGTAAAGGGACTCCGTTGTGGGATATCAAAGGAAAGGTCTGACTTCTGCTGCTTAGGGATGGAGAATTCTATTACTTTAGATCTGGTGTGTTTCTTTAAGTGATATGGATATTGTATTAATGAGATGATAGAAACAACAGTAAGGACAAACCACAGTTACTTTGCTGAAGATGACAGGTCCTCCTGTACAGGCTCCCTCAGCTTGGATACTTGCTGAATGATAACATACCGGCAGTTCTAGCAAAAATCTTCCGTTCCCTGGTTTTAATGATTGTTAGCTGGCTCCTGCTGTATGGAGATAAAGTGGGAGAACACCACCTTGATTTGTTACAAATATTTCTTTTCAGACTTCTATTTTTCCAAAGCGCTACCCCTAAATTTAGCCTCTGGAATGCTTTGTATTAGGACGCATTCCATCAGAAACTATGACCCTTGAGAGCAGCTGTGTTGAATACAAACAGCCTCATTCAATTCCAGGAGAAATGCCAGAAGCAGACATCTGTTTTGCATTCCTAGGCTCTGGGCAGAGCCTTCCAGGGGTGGCTGAATGGCATTCACTACTCTCAATCTGCAAACACTGCAACAGGAGCTCCCTAGGGCAACTGGCTGTGTTGTGCACTAGAGTAACCTGCCATGTGTTTGAGCCCACAGACCAACAGAGTTTGTGCATCTCGGGTTCCACCACACTGCACATACTTGGGCCTGCCCGTGCAGTCCTGCTCCCTGGGAGGAAGCAGACTTCTTCCCAGCTGCTCCCGTACTGTCATTGCTGCCTAGTACCAGCAATCTGAAACTTTTGAAGACTGTTCATCCCCCACTTTCGTGAGTGGGAGGAAAGCAGCTCAGCAGCTTTGTATCCCAAAGATGCAACTGAACTGTCCATGAAATAACTAACTTCACAATTCATGGCAATATTTCTTGTGCTTCTTGGGTGGAGCAATGTGTACCACACACTGGGAACTGTTAGTGAAAAAAAGTTCTTTCAGTCTTCTGGCCATGCTTAAGATTGATGTGTTTACGTCAATAAAGTGCTTTGATAAAGATCTCCCTCTGTGGCTTTGATTTATAAACTACATGTTTTACAATGTTGGTTTTTTTATAGCTGTTAAAAACATTTCCCTTTAGCCTGTCAAGCAGACAACTATACCACTTTCACTTCCTTTACAAAATGCACTGTTTGGCATAAATACAGACTGAAAAAGTGGCAGAGTCAACTTTTTTCTCTAAACAAAAGAAAAGTTTATAGCAAAATCTTTCAAATGTTACTATGGAAAGGTAAGTATCAGCAAAGAGAATAAATCCAGGGGAAGTTGAGGCTATTACCTGTGTGTTTAAGTCTGCTGGTACATCTCGCAACCATTCGCCAGCAACATTTAATAGAAAGCCCATAAAACTTCATTCATTCCACAAAACGCTAAAAATACACAACGTTTTTACAAAACGTACAAATAGCAGAGAGCCTTTATTTTGTTCAACACACTTCAGTAGTTGCAGAAAACACACTATCACATTCTGTAACCTTCTTACGTATTTCTTATTATCAATTGATGCATTTCTTCTTTCACGTCCTACCTGTAAAGAGCTTTTGCGTCCTGTGGTAGGTTATCTCCATTCTTTTGTGGATCAGCCCTGTCTGCAGTGATAAAAACATCCTGGTTGGTTGGTTGGATGGTTGGAAACGCTGCTCTCCCAGCTTCATTCCACACACTCATCAATGTCGCTGAGCAACTTGCCAGTTGTCTTATCAGTTTTGTTGCTTTTCAGCATCTTGTTGCGGCACATGCAAGTTTCAGATGCCAAGGCTGTCCTCTTTAGTACAGGAGTTAAAACAGGCTCTGGTTCCTGCCATTAGCTCAGCTCCCAGCACTGGACTGGAAGGAGAGAACAGGGCAGAAGTTAATTTCCAGCAAGTCTGTGGAACAAATATAACATGGGGAATGGGGAGCAGCTGCTGCCTGGGAGTTTTGGAAAGGCACAGGAGGAGAAAGAGAAGGAAATGGCAAGGGTGTACAACACCTCGCTGTGCTGCTGCTAGCCTCGGTCTGTGGCAGCATGGAGAAAAGGGAGCTTCTACAGCGCTGGAAGCCTTGTCCTCCAAACTGCAGGGGAAATAAATGAGCTCCCATTACCTTATGCTGGACATCTCCCACCCCTCTGGTTTCCTCATTCCCTACAAGCTGGCTGCTGAAGGAGAGATTCCCACGTGGGGGCTGTAGCCAAGGCATGGCCACAGCGTGGCCCCCCTCTGCCCTCTCTTGCTTGTTACTCAGCCCGTCCTATTAGTGCCCTTGCGCTGCTGCAGGTAACAAGAAAAGCTTTGCTGTCCCACTGCAGTTAAGTCATAAACAGCAGGAGGAGACAGGAGGATCAGGAGAACAAGTATGTACATAAAACTAATGCTTTAAGTTGATGAAGGGAGATGCACACCTTGCCAGATTGTAAGTGCAGTGGCCAGAGTGTGGGCAGCAGCTGGGTCCACGCTGAGCCAAGCGGGAAGACCCGAGTGACTGGCAAGTCATCACTGCCAAACTCCCTCTGCTGGATGTGATCGTCCCCATTATTTTGGTGTAACTTTGAGATGATGGTTTATCACAGCACTTTTTTTCCTAATCTACCCAAATTAGTTTCATCTGGATTCCCATCAGATGTGTCACACGTGGCTTTGATCAAAATAACAGTAGATTGTCAGGAGCTTGCTTACCCCCAGGATACCTGGCAGCTTGATTTCTCTACCCTTTTGCTAATGGAAGAGCTGGTACATGCTCTGTCTAAGGATTATGAAGGTATCTAAGCAGCAATACTTCTTATTTCCCTTGCAAAGTGACAAATAAATCATCCATGTAGTCTGAAATGCTTGCAGAGAAAAACAATAAATGTCAATAGATTCCATTTTTTTCCCCCTAACAAACAGTTTGAATAGAACAAAACTAGTTTTATTACTGAAAATCAGAAAATAGTTTCATTAACACTGCAGCCAACTTTTTTAAAAACCCAATTACTTTTGAGGTAGACAGAAAATCATGATTAGGAATGAGTCACATAAATTGTTTCTCTTCAAATTGGTACTGACTTATTTTCACAACAATGCATTTTAGACACTGTTTTTTGAAACAGAAGTCAATAATGTAAAGAGCCTGTCAAATTCTACTTTATTAATGATTCTTACTAATGACAAAATTGACTAAGAGCTTGAAACAGGAGCTGTTATTTAAACAATTTCCTCCCCTTCCCCTTCAAACTCACCATTCTGGGTCTGATCTTGCAAAGTCAGAGCTTTAATTGAGGTTATACTCTGGATTATATTTTTAGCATAGAAGTGATAAAGTCTTGTCACATTTATTTTTGTCAGTAAGAAGAATATTGGGCCATTCCTAGTAAAACAACTGAGAGTTAATTTATTTTTTCAAACAAAAAGTAAACATTGTATCAGCTTTAATCTCAGTCATAACTGCCTTACTTTAAATGCGTACGCCATTTGTGTGTGCACATTTGAGTTCATCTGTAGTCTAAGCACTGAACTCCACAGGAGATGTACTTATGCAGTTACCAAGTCATATAATTAATAGTTTTCTGCATTTTATGGATGAGTAAATAAACACTATAGCTTAGATGCAAATTGTATACACATCAGTTAATATATCATACTAGTTTAGCACTTGCAGGAACTTTGCTATGAATGTTATGAAGACGGTGTACCTTCCTCTGACATTTTACTGTGATCTGGTCTTCATCCTCTTAAAAGTTGCTTTCACTGACTACAAATAAATTGTGTCTTTTTTTGGCTTGCGTGCCTAACTGGGCAATCCCTGCTTCGCCACGAGGAATGACAAGATGAAAGAGACAACGTGGTATGAATCGTGCCTTGGTCCAGCTGGGAAGAATGGAAGCCATCCCACAGAACAGGCTCTGAAATACACAAATAAAATAACATGCCAAAGAGAGGAAATACATACAGGAAAGCTGCCAAGACTGTGACATAATATCTCTGATTAGCTACATTCAGGTCCGTACCAGAAAAAACATTTGCCACAGAAACTGCAATGCCCAGAACGTGCTCTCTCAAACACAGACGACTTGAGAGGGACTGCCCTGCTCCAGGACAGGCGTCCTCCCTGGTGCCCACAGGTCTCCTGCCAGCGCCGTGCACGGTCCGTCCCAGCCACGCAGGCTGCCCTGCTGCACCCGGGCTGGGAAACAAAATTCGAAAGCTTTGCAAGTTAAAGACGTTTTTGCACGTACAGACAAATTGTCACATTAGCAAGATGTAGAAAAGGGAATATAGGAGAAATGGGAAAGAGGGGATAGCTGAAATCATGAGCTGAGGTCGTGAATCCCGGTGCGGCTCAGGGGCTGATAACGGCACCCCCGCAGATGGGGCTATGATTTCTCACGGGTCAGTGGCTGTCCTGAGACCTGGCCAGCACAAATCCGGATGAGAAACAAGGGAAGATGTCTTCATCCAGCATCTCAGAGCTCCTGCTGCCTCTCAAGGCTGGAAAGAGTCCCTCCAAAGCCCAGAAGCTGGCCTGGCACCTCTGTCATCCTCTGTTTGTTGGGTTCATCACCCTCATCCAGGGAACCAAGGCATCGATGCCTACGCTGTACCTGCTAGATCACATCAGCTTGACAGCTTGCACTTAACCAAATCCCTTCACAAGCATAAAATCAGTGTTCACCATTCACAACAGCTCTGTCCCTACATATAGTGATGGACCGTACATATAACAGGATGTCTTTGCCACTCATGAAATCTCCTTTTTAAAGCTGACACGGTTTCAGCTGAACTGAGATACAATTTATTTCAGCTGACTTGGTAATTATCGAAGCATTCCATTTTAATTAGGATGATGGTTAATGAAATCTGCCATGAAGTCGTTTGTGCGTTTTAGTCTTTGTAAAAAACCTTAAAAATATGTAATAGATATAGAGAAATAAATTGGAACAGTATACGATGCATTGTTATTTTCTGTCACAGCTCATCAAGGAAGCCTATACATCGATATGACTTGACAGTGACAGGATGACAGACTAATTTCTCCCGTGAACCATTTTCTTCTTATAAGGCAAAAAAAGCACTGCATCTGTATGAGAACATCTAGAAAAGTCCTCCTTTCTGAAAAATACTATATTCTTTTTTGTTGCCTAGCTACAAGCTGTTGTTACCTTAGAAGGCTGTAGATTCATCTGAATGATTCTGGTGGTGCTGATGTGCTTGAGCAGAGGAGTAATGCAGATATATAACCCTTTCTTTCGTAAAGATTATGAAAGAAAGGGGTGAGTATGAAAAGAAAGAGCCTTTGCAGAAAAGCAATTCGCTGTATTCATCATATTCTTTTTGACATTAATTGTTGAATAAAGACCATTTCCCCCCACAGAGCTGGGTGCATGAGCAGGCAGTGAAATCACAGGCTTGATGCTTTTGACGTGAGAGTCTGATGCTAAGGAAGCGTTTGCCTGGTTCATGTTAATTACTGCTATGAGTAAGTGTAGAGAAGGGAAACGACTGTCAAGGCCTGATTCTGATCTCATTTTCAAAACTGTAAATGAGAAAACGCCGTGAAATGCAACCAGTTTGCTGAATTTCACTACCATCAGACACTGGGATGATCACCGAGTCCTTCTTTAAATATAAGTAGCTTTGATGATTTGGAAAATTAAGAAAGTCCACTTAAAATGCCTAAGGCCCAAAGATTTACATTGTAATGTGCCTGTCAAAGAAACCTCTGACAGGGAACTCTGCCCTCACACAGGAGACATGCAGAGATGGCGAGCTGAGCAATAATTGCCTGGCACTCCCCCAGCGTGATCAGCAGCTCAGCATGCCGCTGCCTCGCCAAAGATTTTAGTATTCTGGTATTCACTAGATGTGGGGAAGTTGCTTGCGGGAGGAATAAGATGAACGGGGAAATAAAGTTATTTCTTACCTGCTTCACTGTAACTGGTTTGGGTGTAGAATGTCCTTGATATCTGTCAAGATTTTGCAG